CATCCTGACTAACACGGTGAAACCCCGTCTCTACCAAGAAATACAAAAAATAGCCGGGCGAGGTGGCAGCGCCTGTAGTCCCAGCTACTCGGGAGGCTGAGGCCGGAGAATGGCGTGAACCCGGGAGGCGGAGCTTGCAGTGAGCTGAGATCCGGCCACTGCACTCCAGCCTGGGCGACAGCGCGAGACTCCGTCTCAAAAAAAAAAAAAAAAAGTATTGTGGAAAATGTCAAACATACAAAAGTGTAACAGTACAATGAAACCTCATGAACCCATAACCAACCTTCCACAACTATCAACATTCTGTTAATGTTGTTTCAGTGACCTCTGTTTTTTTTTTCTTCTGAAATATTCAAAAGCTAATCTCAACTGGTGTGGTGACTCACGCCTGTAATCCCAGCACTTTGGGAGGCTGAAGGAGGTGGATCACCTGAGTTCAGGAGTTCAAGACCAGCCTGACCAACATGGTGAAAATCCATCTCTATTAAAAATGCAAAATTAGCTTAGGGTGGTGGTGCATGCCTGTAATTCCAGCTACTTGAAAGACGAGATAGGAGATTCACTTGAACTGGGGAGGTAAAGGTTGCAATAAGCCGAGATTGCGCCATTGCACTCCAGCCTGGGCAACAAGAGCGAAACTCCGTCTCAAAAAAAATAAAAAATAAAACACAAAAAAAACCCTACAAAAACCAAATCTCGGGTATGGTATAAGTTTATCCATAAATATTTCAGTATGTATCTCTAACAGCTGCGGACACATTACAGGATCCTGTTTCTCCAAAAATTTTTCCCTTAATGAATGGCTCAAGCCAAAACCTTGGAGTCATCCTTGACTCATCTTTCTCTCAGCCAATCTAACAGCCAATACTGGATAATTTGGAACCTTCACTGGATAATTTGGAATCTTCACTGCTACCACTGTAATCTAAGTTACAATCGCCTTTTACCTGTATTATGTCCACAGTTCCTTCATTGGTCTCTTTAATGCCCCTGTAACTTCAGTCTTTGTACTTCTTCCTGCTGCCTGAAATACTTTTATTCCAAAAAAATTAGGTCTGTCTCTTCCTTGAGGTCTCCTGAATTTCATCCTATTAGAAAGACTTGCCCTGACCATCCTATCTATACCACAATACTAATGTTAGAAAATACTAATAAAGATGTTAACAACCACCATCCCTGCCGTTATTCTATTCTTCTGGCTATGATTTTTATCACCACCTGATTTATTTACAAGCTTATCTTCTGCTACAATGTAAGCTTCAGGAGGGCAGACACTTTGCTGATTTTATTCACTGCTGTATCACCAGTGCCCATAGTAGCCGCAAGCAGACATGCAGTAGACACTTAAATATTTAAGACTGAAAAGAAAATTATTTGATGGCTAACAGATTAGCAAAAATTTTAAAACTGTTTCCTAAGGAATTTGAAACAAGGAATTAAAATTCTTTGGGAAGTACACATTTTGAGAGCTTTGCTAGATTTAATTTTTTAAATCGAGTCTATCCACAATTTAAATCAGACTAAATTCTAGTAAATGTGTCCTCTTTAAGGGGTGTGAATTATATGTCTGAAACATATTTAACTGTATTTAAAAGAGTAGCATTATATAGTGTCAAATCCTCATAAGCATCTAGAATTACAGGTAATGAGCACTAGGACAAAAAAAAAAAAAAAATCACAGGCTCTAGTCCTCTATTGCAGTCAATGTTAAAAGTGTACAAGTGTCTCACACATCAGAATTCATTTCAGACCCTCAATCACTCATTCTTCTTGCACCTTGTCTTTGAACTATTAGAAGCTAGTGAATTTAAATCAAAACATTATTTTAACTATAAAGGTTCAATGTCTTTACAATATATCATATTTTAGGGAAGGAAGGGAAGAAAAGGATTAAGGCAGCTAGCTTATTACTCACCATGCAGATTTTAGAACTTAGAAATCAAAAGCTAGAAGGAATTTCCCATCTCTAAAGTGTTACTTGCTTGTTGATACGGAAATGCTCAGATTGTACCAGATGATTTTTAAGGTCTCTCTAGGCCACAACATTCTATTATTCTAGCTATCTTAAATCTGGGATGCTTATCCCGGAAGAAAAAGCAGCTTCGAGTACTAGGTCAGACAGCACCTGGTTATTTACTAGCTGTGTAAGTTTCTTAACCTTAGTAAGGGTGCTTCCTCACATACATAAAAGGGGTTAATAACATCTATCTGGCAAAGTTATGGAAAAGACTGGAGATATGTCAAATGCATTGCAAAGTGCTTGACAGGTTTTTCATAATACAGGCAGCTATCACCTTGCTCTAGCTCTACTATTCTTTTGCCAGGGATAGTGCAATGTAGGATCAACTGTGCCAACAAAATTGGGGCAAAGGCAAGGAAAGTAGTAAAGCCACAGAATAGATTTACATTTCAGCACCAATTTGGTATGCATATTAGAAAATTATTTTTGTTTTCTTTTTACAAAAGAGAAAGTTGTTGCTACCGTGACTATGCCATTAACTTAAACAACAGATTGTTTACAATTCATGTTGTGAAATTTACATCTGTTCACAGATTTACTGAGTTGGCATAATGTGGGTGATGACTGTGGGAAACGGCCCAAGTTCCTTAGTACTGACACTTCCTTGATTGCAGAATATCGAGAGGTGGTCAACTTCTTCCCTTAAAGTGTATTTGAAACATACTACTGTGACTACAGCCATAAAAATTTCCCCGCATCTCTCCTTGATCTACAGCCGGTGCTTCCCATTTTGAAAAAGAGTGAGAACCCCCCAACCCTAGGTTTCTCGTGGTCTTGGCAAAGCCTCAACGCCAACTGGTGATCTCCATTTCCCCCGCGGGCTACCAAGCCCAGGACAGTCCTTTCAGGGAGAAAGAGGGCCGGAGGAAACTGTATTGGCAGCTCTCTGGGTTGAAGGACAGGAAAAGGAAACTCCCTTCTTGGACTCGGAGGGGAGGGTGAGAGACGAAAGGAAAGGGTGGGGGGTAGTGCAGGAATGGCCTGTGTCTCGATTACCCCAACGGACTCGTAAGCCTCCGCCAGCCCCGGGGTGGAGCACTGGCGTCGTAGGATTAGAAAGGCGGACAGTGCAGCCTTAGTGTCGTGCAGGGGTGGGAGGAAGCTCCCGGCCGGCCCCACCCCGCCTCGCTTCCCTTGGAGCGGCGGTTGGGCAGGAGCGGGGCAGAAAACCGCCGCCGGGCCCGGGGAGGGGACCAGGCCGCGCCCATCTCCTAGGCCTCTGGCTGCAGCAGGCCCGCTGGGTGGTCGGCGAGGCCAGGGGCGCCGCGTCGAGCTGGGGTCCCCTCCCTCAACCTTCCCGGACGCCGCCACCCCTTTTCCCCCCAGCACCAGGGTACCTGCACGGCGCGACTGAGGAAGGTGCCTGCGTCGGCCGCCAGCTTCTTCACGTTGAAGTCCATGATGTTCATCCTGGGCGGCAGCCCGGCGGAGCCGGCTGACCTAGCGGCGGCGAGGCGGAGGCGCCGCGGCCGGGCTGGGACGCAGGGCTACAGCGGCGAGGGCAGACGTGGTAGGTGGAGGGAGGCGGCGCCAGCCCCGCCGCCGCAGCTGTCGTTTCCGTGAAAGGGGTGGATGAAGGCGGGGCGAGGGAGGAGAACGAGCGCCCGCGGCGGCGGCGCCAAGGATGGGTCAGTCGGTCCGGAGAGCGGCCGCTAACGTCGACGATGGGCCCCGTGGGCTAGCCGGAGATGGACCCGCAACCCGGCAGTGTGGAGCCGGGCCCCAAGGGGGAAGCGAGCGCGGGCCGCGGGGTGGAGCCTTTCTCGAGGTTATCGCGGGAACAGCGACCCCTTGAGGATTGCGGCGGCGCAGCCCCGGGACGCGCTGGGAGCTCCGCCCGGCTCCTGTGGAGGAAGCGGCGAGGGAGAGCCGCAGGATCTCGGCGCCTCTGCGTGCTTGCACTTAACCTCCGAGAACCCAGAGCGAACGCGACGCACATTTCTCTTTTTGTTTTAAGAGTAAACATAGGAATTACAGCATAGAATTACAATATCTGGAAATTTGAACTGACAGGTCCCAGTAACAGTATGGCACCGCGCGACACACTTGGTCCCTGAGGCCTGGATGCCGCACAGCGAACGTTTGCGGAATAGGGTTGGATTTACTGTCCCCCACCGAGCCGGTTGCTCATTCATTTAGCATAACTGAATACCTCCTGTGTGCCAGGCACTGAATCGAGTGTCGGAGATACCACGCTGAACAAGACAGTGTCCTGCCCTCAAGCTCCCGGTCGGTTACTTGACAACCTTCCGGGACCTCAACACTACGTGCCTACTGTGTGAAAGCAAAGTGCCAGGTGGAGGACACAAAGATGGCGAGCGACACAGCATAGCCCTTAACAATTAAGCGTGACTAATTTTAATAACAAATGAGAATATGATGTGACATCCGTTCCAAATCCTGTCATTCCAATTAACTTCTTAAGCATCCTTTACTGTACAGCCTCTGCTTGAAAGGAATTAAAACAGGTACAAGCATGGAAGGAGACGTTGCTATCATATTTCAAGAATAAGAAAATGCTCTCTCTGTTTTGTGTGGTTGTGCAGCAGGCAATGAAATGAGCTCACATTCAGGCTTCCGTGTTTCACTGAAACCACAGTCACAGATGCAATAGATGTGAAAAGACGAGTGCAGTAAAAGCATTATGAGGACAAGAAGAAAACATGTAAATATTTGTGTTGTTTCATTCTTTGTTGTGGTGGCAGAAACAGCCCCCTCTCTAAGGTAACTCCAATATAATGGAATCTCCCAGCTTTGAATACTCCATGTCTCTAATTTTCCAGAAATATGGAAAAATAAATTTATAATAAAAAAATCCTATTTCTCATTTATTGTCTATTTTAGATCTTTATGTGGAAAAGCACTTACCCTCTTCCCAGAGCGCTGTTTTTAAAGTAGGTATATTTGCCGTAACCTATGCTCGTCTCTATAAAAGGATCACACCACCGTGACCCCCATTAAAGAATTTCCCCTTGGCAAGATGGCTGCCTCAGCAGCGCTGTTCTCGCGCTTGCGGAGCGGGCTCCGACTCGGCTCACTGGGACTGTGCACGAGGTTGGCGACGCCGCCCCTCCGGGCCCCAGATCAGCCCGCAGAGATCGGGAGACGCGGGGGCACTAAGGCACAAGGGCCACAGCAGCAGCCAGGCTCAGAGGGTCCCAGCTATGCCAAAAAAGTTGCGCTCTGGCTTGCTGGGCTGCTTGGAGCTGGTGGGACCGTGAGCGTCGTCTATATCTTTGGAAACAACCCAGTGGACGAAAATGGTGCCAAGATTCCTCATGAGTTCCACAATGATCCAATTCTGGTACAGTAGTTGCGCCGGACATACAAATATTTCAAAGATTATAGACAGATGATCATCAAGCCCATCGGCCCTTGCCTTCTCCCAGACCCACTGCAGGAGCTGTACTACCAGCCACCCTACACGCTCGTTTTGGAGCTCACCGGCGTCCTCTTGCATCCTGAGTGGTCACTGGCTGGAGGTTTAAGAAGCGCCCAGGCATCGAGACCTTGTTCCAGCAGCTCACCCCTTTATATGAAATTGTCATCTTTACGTCAGAGACTGGCATGACTACGTTTCCACTCATTGATAGCGTGGACCCCCACGGCTTCATCTCCTACCGCCTATTCCGGGAAGCCACAAGATACATGAATGGACACCATGTTAAGGACATTTCATGTCTGAATCGCGACCCAGCTCGAGTAGTAGTTGTGGACTGCAAGAAGGAAGCCTTCCGCCTGCAGCCCTATAATAGCGTCGCCCTGCAGCCCTGGGACGGCAACCCTGATGACCGGGTCTTGTTGGACCTGTCTGCCTTCCTCAAGACTATTGCACTGAACGGTGTGGAGGACGTGTGAAACGTACTGGAGCACTACGCCCTGGAGGATGATCCGCTGGCAGCTTTCAAACAGCAGCAAAGCCGGCTAGAGCAGGAGGAGCAGCAGCGCCTGGCCGAGCTCTCCAAGTCCAAGAAGCAGAACCTCTTCCTCGGCTCCCTCATCAGCCGCTTGTGGTCTCGCTCCAAACAGCCCTGAACTCCGGGCCTCCTCAAACTCAGTGCCGGGGTCCAGAGCCCCAGTGCTTCCAGACCAAAACTTGGGCCACCACTGTCCAATAAAGTACATCCCAGATGCCACACCTGCTGTGTCCCGAGAGTCTCCAGATGGGGGCATCAGGATGAGGTCCGGGACTCTCAGGTCACCATCCCACAGTGGCTGATTGGCTGCCAAGCACAGAGTAGGGGCTTTGTTGGATCACAGCGGATTTTTCACCCTGGTCTGGGAATGTAAAAACCCTCGCTGTGTCAAAAAATAATAATAATAATAATAATAATAATAATAATAATAAATTTCCCCTTTAATGGTGGACACGGTGGTGTACCTGAATCCTCATCCTCAAGTGTTTCCATCTTCCCAGTCTTGGAAAAACAACGTTACTTCTTTCTTTTGCACCCTCTGTAGCTGTAATCCTGTTTCCCCATTCTCCATAAAACACTTACCTTATTTTCATATATCCTTATTCTTAGCCTTTGATACCTTTTTTTTTTTTTTTTTTTGAGACAGAGTTTTGCTCTGCCACCCAGGCTGGAGTGCAATGGTGTGATCTCAGCTCACTGCAACCTCTGCCTACTGGGTTCAAGGATTCTCCTGCCTCAGCCTCCCAAGTAGCTGGGATTACAAGCATGCATCACTACGCCCGGCTAGTTTTTTATATCTTTAGTAGAGACAGAGTTTCACCATGTGGGCCAGGCTGGTCTCGAACTGCTGGCCTCAAGTGATCCGCCTGCCTCAGCCTCCCAAAGTGCTGGGATTACAGGTGTGAGCCACCGCGCCCAGCTGATTCGCTTTCTTTACAGAGAAAGTATAAATCATCACTGTTTGGTAGAAGCCTCTTGAATCAAATTTCCTTATTTCCACCTCCTGTTCTCTCCACACTCTTTCCTCCATCATTGCCAAATGTTTCAAAGGAATAGTTGCCTCAGGTGTTCTGAGTAGAGCCATTGATCCCTTAATCTTGGCTGCACATTGGCATCACCTGGAGAGTTTAAGCAACCACTGATGCCTGGATCCAGTCCCAGAGTGCAGACTGGGCATTGGGATGTTTTAGGAGTTCCTCTTGGTGTTTTTAATGAGTGACCAAGGTTGAGAACTAACTTGTCACCATCTGGAACTTGCTCCATCACTCTCTACCCTTTGCCTACAGATTGATTCTATTTCTCTTACCACCTATGAGTCCCTTAAGGGCAGTGTCCATTTCCTATTTATTTTTATATGTTTTATGGTTTGCACTGGAAACATAGTGAATTCCCAAATGATTTAGTAAGTGAAGAAAGTAATCAAATCAAGATGTTTACAGTGCTAAGCTCTTCTGTGACACCATCACCCCCAACCTTCATTTCCAACTACCTATTTATCCATAGATTCAATATTTCCAGTGGCAAGTCTGTTGTAGTTTGCTCTTCCTGAAAATTCTTTTCTTGGGTTTCCTATATTGATAAATTGAATCATACACACCAAATCACCTAAGCCAGAAATCAGAGTCTCCTTTGATTATTTCGTCTTATTTCCCACCACCAATTGATCTATTCTGGCAATTTCTTCTCTGAAACTGTTTCCTATATCTCATTTTTATCCTCTTTTTAAAAACAATTTTTTTTAACTTGAAACAATTTACAAACTAAGAAAACTGTTGCAAGAATAGTACAAAAACTTCTGTGTACCCTTTGCCTAGAAACCCCACTCAAACTTTGCCAATTATTCCAATGTCTTTACAGCAAAAACATCCCAGCCAAGAAAGATCATGTGCTGCATACAGTTGGCATGTTGCTCAGATTCAGTCTGGATCAATTCTTCAGGCTTTTCTTGACACTATTCCTTGCCCAGAGTTAGCCACTACTTTTAAATTGGTATGATTAATATCTATTGTTTTTGTACTTTCACTGAATTTGTATGTTATCTATAAAGGGTACTACTATGTTATATTTTTAAACTGCATAAATGGTATCATATAGATAAATCCTTTTGCATTTAGGGGTCTAACACTTATATTTGTATATTTGATGACTTTTATTCTTTGTGGATTGATTCCTTTTGCTTTGTACATTGATTCTTTTTTTTTTTTCTTTTACGGCTCATTTTTAGTGATGTAGAAAAAAAATGTTTCTTCTGTCAGAGACCTGTAAGGTTATCACTGACTAGTGAGCAATTTTTATATGAATTTCTTTCTTGGCTTGGAAGTTCTAAGATCATTCAGATATTATAAATTTGAACCCAGATCAGTGGGAGTACAAACTATGATTCAAATTCTCAAGGGAGATAGATCTGCCTTGTTTTTATTTTCTCTTTCAGAGCTTGTGCCATGACAGAAAAGCTTCTTGCTATGCCAGGGAGTGAGTTTTATCTAGTCTACCATTTCATTGAGGGTATAGAATTTCATGGGTTTTTAACTTTTTTGTGTGTGTGAGGTTATGAAGTTGGGGGACAGGGTGTGCTCACACTTAACTGATTTCTGCTTGTACCAAGGGCCCATGGTCTTATCACAAGTTACCATGTATTTTTAAAAATTATAAAGGTGGGGTGCAGTGGCTCACACCTGTAATCCTAGCACTTTGGGAGGCTGAGGTGGGTGGATAACTTGAGGTCAGGAGTTCGAGACCAGCCTGGCCAACATGGTGAAACCCTGTCTCTCATAAAAATACAAAAATTAGTCGGGTGTGGTGGTGGGTGCCTGTAATCCCAGCTACTTGGGAGGCTGAGACAGGAGAATCACTTGAACCCAGGAGGCGGAGGTTGCAGTAAGCTGAGATCACGCCATTGCATTCCAGCCTGGGCAACAAGAGCGAAACTCCATCTTAAAAAATAATAATAATTAATGAAAATTGACAAACGAAAATTGTATATACTGTATTGTATACAACCTGATTTGTAATATGTATACATCTTGGAATGGCTAAATTGAATGACTTAACATATACATTACCTCACATACTTATTTTTATGGTGAGAACACTTAAAGTCAGTTCTTAGTGATTGTGAAGAATACAACATGTTAACTACAGTCACTATGTTGTACAATAGATCTCTTGAACTTATTCCTCCTATGTAACTGAAATTGTATATCCTTTGACCAACGTCATCCAGCTCCCTCACTCTCTCCCAGCGCTTGCTAACCACCATTCCACTCTTTGCTTCTATTGAGTTCAACTTTTTTAGATTCCACATTTAAGTGAGATCATGCAATATTCATCTTTCTGTGCCTGGCTTATTTCATTTAGCATAATGTCTTTAAGATTCATCTGTGTTGTCACAAATGACAGGATTTCCTTCTTTTTAGAGGCCGAATAGTTTTCCATTGTACACATATATCACATTTTAAAAATCCATTTATCCCCACATGGATTTAAACATTCAAGCACCATCCTCATTCAATCCTTTCCCCACTCCAGACGAGGTCATATTGTGTGTTCAAGACCCTGGTGTCTAGTTTATTTTTTTATTTCTGCCACCTGAATATTTCCCTGTCTTTTTTTTTGGTAAGTTCAAGTATGCATTATTATTAATTTATTTATTTATTTTGCTGCTCTTTACCCAGCATTTCTAAGTATTTGTAGTAGAAGAGTTTTCATGTTATCTAGTCTGTATTGGTAAAGGATTGGTTGTGTTCAGTTTAAGTAACAGAAACTTAACTGTAGTGACTTACCCAAATACTGATTTATTTTCTCACCCTCTAAGAAGTTCAGAGGTAGGCAGTCCTCTGTGTTTTTGTTTTTCTATTCTTATCAGGTAGCTTTCATCCTCAAGTCTCAAGATGGCTCCTGTAATTCTAGGCATTAAATATGTTTTTAAGTCAGAAAAAGGATGAAAAGTAAAGGCAAAGGCACATGTCAACTGAGTCTGCTTCTTACTCCTTAAATCAAGAAAACAGCTTTTTCATAAACCCCACACAGTAATCTTTGGTTTACATCTCATTAATTAGAATTGGGTCATTTAGTTCTCCATAAATGCATTAGAGACTGATTAAGGAAATGTGCCCTGTTAAAAAATAAAGTATTTTAATTTTTTATATCTTTAAAAAAATCCATGTCAAAAATGCATATCTATCTATCTATATGTATCGATACATATAAATTCAGTTGAAAGTACACAATCATAATAGAAATTAGTATTTTATTTTTAAATCTTTCTTTATTTTTTAGACAGCACTTATTGTCATCCTGAACAAAATGGGATTTCTGTTAGCAAGGCAGAAAGAGAATAGTTATAGGGTAAGCAACTATCAATGTCTGCCATGCTGCTGTAAGGCAAGAATTGAAAGTCTCCCATGCTCACTGAAACTTCCTTTCAGTTTTTAGATTGATAAATGGGGCCACTTACATAATTTGCAGGGACCAATGCAAAACAGAAGTATGGAGCCCTTTGTTCAAGAGCAAAAGGAAAGTGCTGTTAAAAGTATTAAAATAAAACTTTTTCCTTTATTTTGTGATTCTCTTTTGACTTGTCGTATTATTTTTTATTTGCTGTTTAATGTCATTATAAACAAAGTAAAGATTATAATTTAAGTTATTAGAATGAATTTTACCATATATCTTCATGTTGTACAATAACAGTTTTATTTTATTTTATTTTGTTTTCTTTTATTTTTTGAGATGGAGTCTCACTCTGTTGCCCAGGCTGGAGTGCAGTGGCACAATCTCGGTTCACTACAACCTCTGCCTCCCGAGTTCAAGTGATTCTCCTGCCTGAGCCTCCCAAGTAGCTGGGATTACAGGTGCTTGCTACCACGCCCAGCTAATTTTTGTATTTTTGGTAGAGACGGGTTTTCACCATGTTGGCCAGGGTGGTCTCGAACTCTGTGATCTGCCTGCCTCGGCCTCCCAAAGTGCTGTGATTACAGGCATGAGCCACCGTGCCCAGCCCTACAATGCCAGTTTTAAAACAAATATAAGAACATTTCTCAGCATCACTAATTATCAGGGAAATGCAAATCAAAACCACAATGCAATACCACCTTACTCCTGCAAGAATGGCCATAATTAAAAAAAAAAAAAAGTAGATGTTGGCATGGATGTGGTGAAAAGGGAACACTTTTGCACTGCTGGTGGGAATGCAAACTAGTACAACCACTATGGAAAACAGTGTGGAGATTCCTTAAAGAACTAAAAGTAGGTCTACCATTTGATCCAGCAATCCCACTACTGGGTATCTACCCAGAGGAAAAAAAGGTCATTATACGAAAAAGATACTTGCAGATGCATGTTTATAGCAGCACAATTCACACTTGCAAAAATATGTAACCAGCTCAAATG